AATTAAATAGATTAATTACTGAACCGCCGCGCATAATAAAAATATTTTCTACTTCTCTTTAACCCTTAGCTTTGGGGGCGGCGATATGAGGGAGGAGCAGCAGCAGCAGCAGCAACAGGTTTCACAGCCGCCCCACCAATCGCACCACCAACAGCGGCATGACGCGCACCACCATCATCAACAACAGCAGCCGCAACCGTCGCAGCACCATCACCAACAAACGCAACAGTACGTTCAGCTCGGGGCGAGAGAGGTCCCGGTTCCCGAGGGAGGGGATAACCGGCACCCGGCAGAGGCCTCCATCGCATCGGAGGGACGCCGCGTCGGCAGTCACATGCCTCATTCCACGATGCATCGTTACGGTACTGAGACGCTCTCACCGACCACGACGGATCACCATCATCATCAACAACAACAGCATCATCATCACTTAGCTGAGGTACATCAGCATACCACTTTATCGTCCGCGCACCGTCATCTGGAGGATCCGCAGCAACATCATCAAGAAACTGATGAAGATCGAGGGGTGAGCAGCATCAGCGCAGCCATGAGAGGTGCACGAGGTGATTATTTAGGTGTGCTATTCCCGAATCTCACCTCGTCGAACGCCACATCTAGTAATGGCGGCAGCAATCACCATCATCACACGTCACATCACTTGGAGGATGTATTGTCCGAGGGGTCTTATCTGCAACATTCGATTCGCGCTGGTGGAGTTCCTCCGACCGGGGATGGTTCTCCGTCGATGAGGACCGTTGGTGGCTCCTCGACTTCTAGCCACAGTCCGCACGACGATCAGGGTCTCTCGTCGCCGCATCGTCAGACTCAGGAAGCCGGTTATAGTCCCACCGATCAGGGTAGATTGCAATCTTTCACGCATCTTACGGCTATGCAGCCACCGTCGGTGCAGACCAATCACGGACTGCAGGATGCCGAGCGTGTATCCGATCAGCTGTACATCGACACGATTTATACACACCACGCCGCAGGTACCCCCCATCATCATCAGGATCAACACGACCAAGGCCCCTCCGCGCCGCACTCACCTAGCGGCCCTCTCTCCAGGTTAGTGGCGATCGTTATCGTTATCATTGCGTGACGCGTGAATGTACCAGGTGTCAATTAAATCTAACTAAAACTATCTGGTCAGTGACAAAATGTTTTTCTCACTCCTTCGTCCCTTAAGGAACCCTCGGCAAGTTTTAAGAAATGAAGAAGCGAAAGTTTTTTTTATATCGAGAGTAGAAATAAATTGGTGAATAAGCCAGCGTTGAATGCGAAATATTTTCAACGTGTCTCTTTAAGTGGAGCAGAAAAACGTGTATTGATATTTTAATAGAAGAAAATACTAGAAAATTATTTTCAAAAAGATCGATAACGATACGTGTAATATTTTATCGTTATATGTATGAAATCGTTCATTGACACAGTTCGCGATATTTTTCTACGAAATTTTGCGGTTACCTCATCGAAAATTGTTTCTCACTCCAAGTTTATCATTTATCTAGAATTTATTTAATTGCCAAGACATTAGATACAACATAATGTTTACGTCATTTTAGCTCGCGTTAAAAATAAACATGTATGTTTAATAATTTTGCAACATTATAATATATATTTTAACTTTTATTTATGCAAATAATAGCGTTTGCTTTGCGGATGTGAATAATCTCGATGTTTTCATATTTCAGACTTTAAAATCACGATACAGAAAGAGAGAGAGAGAGAGAGAGAGAGAGAGAGAGAGAGAGAGAGAGAGAGAGAGAGTAGTAGTAGTAA